AAGTTTGGAAGTTTGGAGGTTTGGAGATTTGGAGGTTTGGAAGTTTGAAAGTTTGGAAGTTTGGAAGTTTGGAGGTTTGGAAGTTTAGAAGTTTGAAAGTTTGAAAGTTTGAAAGTTTGGAAGCTTGGAAGTTTGCAAGTTTAGAAGTTAGGAAGTTAGGAAGTTTGGAACTATGGAAGTTTGAAAGTTTGAAAGTTTGAAAGTTTGGAAGTTTGAAGCTTTGAAGGTTTCTACTTTTAGCCAGCTGATAGTTTTGTAATTGCTAATCTGTTTGTGATGTCTTCTATTTCTATTCTAAGTTCTTTTTAATTTTATTCTATCCATCATTGCAAAATTGTGCACAAGCCCTAGGATTGCTTCGTGAGTTTCTACATTTCTCGTAGAACCTTTAGTATCTAGGGTGCTCATTAAGTGCAGTAAATTGCAACCCTGCAACTGCACCAGCAATCATTAACATCGATCGTTCCGCTCACCCGGCGTTTCGCTGAATAAAGAATCGATATTTCCGTTGAGTCGCCGGTCGATCGCAATCACTCGGTATAATTTCCATAACAACATTTTATCTAAATATTTCTGATCGTCTGTTTCCCTTTCGTTTGCGATCGGCTACCGCAGGATTAAAGACATTGCTCTTATTCATTCACGGTTATCTGAAATGCTCGTTTTCTTGGAATATTCACGCTCATTGGAATTCTTATTTTCTTGCATTTTAGAAAGATCACACAGTCTATTTAACCCAACGCACGGATTTCTAATTTCGCTGACACTGCTCCTGATGGACTGCAAATTTCTCTGATGTTGAATGGATCAGCGGCGAGGCAACCTACTATCATTTATCAATTAGACGTTTGGATTAATGCGAAACAATTTGTAACTTCTTGGCTTGTAGTATGAGAGTTAGCTTGTGGCGAATACGTTCGATTGGATTTTATAAAGAGGAAAGTTATTCATAGTTTAATGTTTAATGTTTCAAAGTTCCAAAACTTCGAAGTTCCAAAGCTTCGAAGTTCCAACGTTCCAAAGCTCCAAAGCGTCAAAGCGTCAAAGCATCAAAGTTTCAGAGCGTCAAAGCTTCAAAGTCCCAAAGTTCCAAGGCTTCAAAGCTTGAAGGTTTCAAAGCGTCAAAGCATCGAAGTTCCAAAGTTCCAAGGCTTCAAAGCTTGAAGGTTTCAAAGCGTCAAAGCATCAAAGTTTCAGAGCTTCAAAGCTTCATAGTTTCAAAGCTTCAAAGCTCCAAAGCATCAAAGCATCAAAGTTTCAAAGCGTCAAAGCTTCATAGTTCCAGAGTTCGAACGTTCCAATGCTTCAACACTTCAACACTTCAAAGCTTCAACACTTCAAAGCTTCAAAGATTCAAAGCATCAAAGTTCCACAACGCCAAACCTCCAAACCTCCAAGCCTCCAAAACATCAAACTCGAAGCGCAGAACTCAACTGCAACATACCGGAGAACGTCGTAACCGCGAGACCTGCTACGCGGCAAGCTCCATTAATTACGGACCGCTCGGCTGCTACTTAATCGAGGACACTTAGGATGATCCGCGATTATGAGCACGGCCCCGCGACACCAGACCCGCCCGTCCCTTCCCCGGTTGCGTAACCCTCGGCGAAGAGAAAGCAAAAGAAGAAAGAACGCACGCGGCGACTTTCTCGCGCCGTTTCGGACGGCGAGCGCGTTACGTTCGCGTTGCGTTACCTCACGGCGCGATGCGATGGAACAATTAGCCGGTGCTTACGGGGGAGGCTGCGGGGAAACGGTTGGGCCAGCTATCGCGCGAGATCGCGCATTCCGCGCCCGTTCGCCGAGGAATTCGCGGATTTCCCCGCGGTTTCCTTCTCGCGCGCAACCGCCGCGGAACTCCTCGGAGCAACCCTTTACGCTCGGAATGCCGGTCGCGCCGGAATGCGTCTGGCGCGATTGTTTGGGGAAATGGAAACCGTGAAATGGCACCGGGTGTAAATGCGACGGTGTAAATGCAGTTCGTTTGAGGAACTGGAATGCGCGGTTTGTTAGGTGTAATGGCTGAACGACTCTGCGCTCGGCTAATGAGACGCGTTGCCAAGGGTTTATACAATACTTCTCAGGATTCGTGATGATTTCAAGATTTATAGGGCTTTTGGATTTTTTATAGATCTCGGGTGTTGTTGAATTATAGTTTGAAGAATGAGAAAAATTGAATGAAGTGGGATTTTATAGTTTTTAGGAGTACGGAAGTAATTCTGTGTTCAAGTTGACGGATGCTTCAGAAATTTAGAGTTGCAACCTTCCTTTTTTAAGATTGATGGTGTCTTTGGATTTTATATAGGTTTCGGGTGTTGTTGAATTATATTTTGAAGAATGAGAAAAATCGAATGAAGATCTTATGGTTTTTAGGGGTACGGAAGTAATTCTGTGTTCGGGTTGTTACGTTGAACTGCCGAGGCACTTACGTTTCCTACATTATAGAATTCATATTATGGAATAATAAACGAGCTCGATGACGAAACATCCTCGCCACAAAGCGGAGAATTAATTCCTGATTTCGCATCGAGAGATGCGTCACCTGTACTCGAGTGAAAGTTAGGCAAAATGTGAAGACCGTGTAGGTGTTCACGTTGAACCCGTATCGTTCATCTTCTTGTATCTACATCTGCGTAACGGAATCCTCTCAAATCCCATCAATGAATACATTCCATCAAATACATCGCTCCGACTTTCCATCATTTCTGTAAACTCCGATACCATTCCTCGTAAACATTCGACGAATCCATCGATAAACATTTGCAAGTATCATCTCGACTTTCGAGATCGTTTTTCCGACGAGGAATCATTCTCTCCGGCAAACCGTGAAGCGAGTGAAACCGATCGCGCCGATTAGCGGGCGTAATTTTTCAAACGGTTGTCGGGTTTGCGACTTTTCCCCGATAAATAAATGGTATATAATTAAATGAAAAGACCCGACGAGTTCCACCGCGAGAAAGCTGCCGGGGAACGAGATCGTGATAGAAGGAATCGGCCGGGCACGCGTCGAGCGTGCGCGAGGCCGCCGGCTCTCGAAAAATTCCCTTCCCCCCGGACCCTTCTAAATGTCAAATCACTTTCTACGAAGCCGGGAGATCGCGGCGGCTCGTAACGCGCGAAAACCACCTGCTCGTCGGGCCAGTTCCTTTCCGAAATGTTTCGTAACCGGAACCGAAAGCGTCCCGCCGCGTCACGGAATCCCGTTGGCTTCCAGGAAATCCGTTTCATTCGTCGGCGATATTCGATGGTAGTCGTCAGAATATTACTTCGATTTGAACACTTTTAGAATATTAACCCTTTGTAGTCGGAAGTTTTTCGTTGGAAATATTTTAACATTTTCCGATGAGATGATATTTTGTGAAACTAACTCGA